GGCAATCCTACTTCCGTAGTGATACTGCCTCGGAAACCCAAGGAGGGGTCGCTATGAGTCGGGGCCGACTCGACGGCACATAACAACAACAACAACATTAAAAATTACAAGTCAATAGTTTTATCCTTTGGATCTGGTTGTGTGCTTCAAATATAGCAGGGATTAAGTACATGTTAGTGTCATGTTTGGAGTTTGGTTTTCTTGCTTAAATGCTAGTGAGTTAGCCTGTCGGTGTTTCATGGATGCTAGTTGAAGACGAGCTCTGGTAGCATAGTGGCTAAGGCACTTGACTGCTAATCAGAAGGCTGGCGGGTTTGAACCGCCAGCCACTCCTCGGAAGGAAGATGGGGCAATCTACTTCCGTAGCGATACTGCCTCGGAAACCCAAGGAGGGGTCGCTACGGGTCGGGTCCGACTCGACGGCACATAACAACAACAGCAGTTGAAGACGAAAGGCTCCTGGGTCAGAGGACTTTAATTACTTATTGCACAGCAAGCAGCCACATCATTTATGTCAGTTCCTTTTGTCAAGTCCCACGGAGTAATTTGATAGGGCACAGACGGATGTTCTAGATGCAGTGGGTTTGCCTTCCAGCTGAGGAACACAGAGCTGGGAGAATCCACCTCTTTTATAGCACACATTAAGCAGACCTGTGCATTGTCCCAAGGGTTAGACGTCCTTACCTTATCCTTCAAAGTTGCTTACTGTAAGAAACCCTGAGAAATGGCCCAGGTAAAGAGTAGTCAGAGCCTTGCATTCTTGATGTACAGTAAGAACATACAGGAACCCTCAGGGTCTGTGGCTGTTGTCTCTGCCAGTAGTTAGTTTGAATGGACAAGCTGTTGCTCAGCAGTATTTTATGATTAACACAATTTATTTTCCCTTCTCCAGGAATTATCAGAACTAATAAAACAAAACCTGTATTTTATTCGGATGACACCTCGTAGAAATTTATTTACAGAAAACTTAACACCTGTTAACTATGCTGTATTTTTTCACATGTTAAAGCAATGTTTTGGAAAGCGCAATGCCAAGCTAGTAGACCATTTACAGTAAGTAAAAAGAATAACAGCAAGTATAAATGTAGCAATTTAATGTGAGAATTATTCTTTAATGTTAGAGATCTTTTTTTAGTTTCTTAATTAAGAATAAAGTGCCATATTTTCATTCCTTTATTTCCTCAAAATATTCTTACTGATAGATATTTTGAGGGAAAAAAATTATATTTTCCACATAATCTCCCACAGGGTCCCCCCCCCCTTTGAAAAAAGTCATCAGAGATGTCACATCTTTGTCAGAGTTTGGCCCAAGACTAACCTAAAGAAAAACCTAGCTGCTTGCTACTGACTGGGGTGAAGAAAGTCACTGCTACTTGTGGCATACTCACATCTGCTATTTTTCATTACCTGTAGGGGATACACAGCAGATCACAATACCACTCTGGTTCTCTTCCCCTGGACCAAATTTTGTTTCTAAATAAAGGTTTATAAAAATTATAACTGTAAACTATTTATTTTGTATCTATATAATATTTATAAAAGACTGGTGGTATACAAGTCTGTGAATTGTATATATGCCGCTTATAATCATTCAACATATTATCAGAGGAAGGGCAAAATGTTAAAAATCACATTTTAATTAATTGCATTATCATTTAATGTATCACTTTCTGTGAGCTGTTGATTAGCATTATTTATGTAACAATAAATGTTAAAATGGCACACCAATACAGCAATCTGTTATTTTATCTTGCCACCTTGTAGTGGTGGCAACTTTGAATAAAAATACCAAGAAAATAGGAAATTAAGAAATAAATATGGTAAACCATGATGCAAAATGTTGAAGATGCCCTTGGAGATTTCTGTGAATGGAAAGCATGTTACACTCACCAAGGTTGCATTCAAAGTAAAAAAGTATTAGAATATTTTCCACAAAAATATTTTATTATCGTTGTTAACTTATTCTTGTCAGAGGCTTATTGATGGTTTCTTGTCAGGATCATTTGCTTTACAATTTGTTCACCAATGATTGCTGTATAAAAATGTGAAAAGTGATTCCTTCCTTGAAAATTACCAAACAGCAGTTTCTACTATTTGTATTTGTTGAATTTAAGACTTTAAATCAACTTAAGTGGGGTTAAAACTAGTTTGCTAAGATAGTGAAAAGATGAATAAGGTAGGCAGAAGAATTTTTTAATAAGCAATTTTAGACTGGAATTTAGTGAAAAAATTATAATTCGAGTATGTTAAAGCCTAAATATGCCATTTTCATGATAGGTTAACCATGAAAACCTTAAGGAATAAATATAACTAAGAGCTCACATGTAATATCTGTAGCTTTGACATAGAATAAAATAAATTACATATTTTAAATTAAGCATTTGAAATTGGGCTTAGAAGTAATCTCTATCAGTATTAACTGAACTTAAAGTTGTTATGGAAAATAATTAAATAGATTTACTTTGTATTTGTTTTGTAGTTCATTAAGTCCAGTTGATGCAATGGATATATTGAAACGAATAAGAAAACATGAAAATGCAAAAATAACTAATATGCTCCCTGAAGACTTTAAGCGTCTTTTTGAAACTATAGAGTGTTCCAAAGATTATACATATAAATGGCTGTGTGATGACTTCATGGAAGATAGAATCATATAGGGAACAAGTCTACCAAGACAATAGCTGGAGAAGTTTATTTATTGAAAATTATGACACAAATGAAAAAGAAGTCTGAAAAGCTCATTTCTTTCAACAAAAGATGTTACACAGACTGGGCAGGTCATTTCTTCTGGACTTCAAACTTCTGGCATATTAGATAAAACAATGACTGCTGTTTTATTCACAGATGAATTAAAATGAAGCCTTCAGTTAATTGTGGATTTGATGAGATTAAATGATTTTTGTTTTAAATTCTTGTCTACTGAAAACATACTGATAAATGTTAGATGCTACCAGATAAAATTTATTTTAGTTTTATCCTTTTGGTTAAATATCTTACATCATATTAATTTAACTATTCCACTTTCACTGTTGTTGATTTTTTGTATCCCCCAGGAGGGGTGAAAGAGTTCATACATTATTAAGCTTAGAAAGTAAATTAAACTGATTTATGTAGTTTGTTTTACTTTCCAATTTGTTGAAATGTATAATTAAATTTCACTGTACAATGAAATAATTTAAATTTTAATATGGTTTAAACTTTTTTAAAATTAAAATATTTTAATAAGATTTTGTGTTGATGTTGTTTGTTTCAAATATTTTATGAAACATTAAATTGCACTTAAATTACTCACTTTTAATTCTGTCATGTATACTTAGTGTACTTTTGATGAGTAATTTAGTCTTTGATAATCAAAGTCTCTTCATATTTATTCTATTAATAAATAATGTAGTGGCTGAGATATATCTAATCTCCCCAGTTAGACTTGTTTGCTTTTACACTTTGTAATACCTAAGGTGGAGGAGTTCTGGTGGTGCAGTGGTTAAAGCATTTGCCTGCTAACAACAAGGTCAGTGGTTCGAACCCACCAGCTGCTCCTTGAGAGAAAGATGAGGCATTTTCCTTCTATAAAAATTTACAGCCTTGGAAACTGTATGAGGCAGTTCTACTCTGTCATGTTGTTGTTAGGTGCCATTGAGTTGGTTCTGACTCATAGCAACCCTGTGCACAACAGAACAAAACACTGCTCAGTCATGTGACATCCTCACAATTGTTGCTATGCTTGAGCCCATTGATGCAGCCAGTGTGTCAGTCCATCTCACTGAGGGTCTGCACTTTTTTGCTGACCCTCTACTTTACCAAGTATGATATCCTCCAGGGATGGTCCCTCTGACAATATGACCAAAGTATGTGAGATGAAGTCTGGCCATTCTTGCCTGTAAGGAACTTCTAGCTATACTTTTTCCAAGACAGATATGTTAGTTCTGGCAGTCCATGATATTTTCAATATTCTTCACCAACACCACAATTCAAATACATCAGTCCTTCGGTCTTCCTTATTCTTTGTCTCACTTTCACATGCATATGAGGCTGTTGAAAATACCATGGCTTGGGTCATCTCTGTCCTACAGGGTTGCTATGAGTTGGAATCAGCTCAGTGGCAGTGGGTTTGCTATTGGTAATTCCTAAGGCAAACTTCAGGGGAGCTTTGGTAGCATAGTGGCTAAGACACTTGCCTGCTAACCAGACAGCTGGTGGTTCAAACCCACCAGCCACTCCTCGGAAGGAAGGTTGGGCAATCCTACTTCCGTAGTGATACCGCCTCAGAAACCCAAGGAGGGGTCGCTATGAGTCGGGTTTGATTCGAGGGCACGTAACAACAACAACAACAAGGCAAACTTCTTGTTGTTATGTGCCATGGAGTCAGACCCAGCTCATAGCAACCCCTCTTTGGGTTTCCGAGGCAGTATCACTAAGGAAGTAGATTGCCCCATCTTCCTTCCAAGGAGTGGCTGGTGGGTTTGAACCGCCAGCCTTCTGATTAGCAGTATGCTACCAGAGCTCCTAAGGCAAACTATTAGTAATTATTTGTAAAGCATATTCTTAGTAACACTTAAAACTAATTCTTCCCAACTTCCCTACTACTGTCATTGATTTTCTGAATCTTCTTTCTCTTGTAATTCCTGCCTTGCTGTTACCAAAGCTGCTCATCTTCATGATGTCTTTCATTTTCACTTTTCTTTCTAATCATAACTCCTTATACATTAAGCCTAGATTTCTCTTAAAGCATCTTAACTACTGCTGTTCCAATCCACCTTGTATGTCACTGTATCAGTATCATTGTATCAATATCAATCTTTCTGAAACATTTACTTCACCAGTCTACTTCACCATAGACTCAATCAAAAACTATTATTGCTAGGGTTTAGGAGTCTTCTAAGCTTTGGTTTCCAAATGA